AAAAAAAAAAAAAAAAAAAAAAAAAAAAGCAACTGCCATAGGAATGACTGGAGGTGGGGAGAAGAGGGGGAAACAATGGTGGCTTTCCTGCATTTTTCCCTGGAGCCCAAAATAGACGGCTTCCCTGCAACTCTCCCTGTTTGTACCTGGTGTCCACCTCTAGGCTTGGGCATCCTGATTCAAGACCAAGGAGTGCTGGAGGGAAAACAAAAAGCTAACAGTTGGTGTACTGGTGCTTCCAACTCTGGACTCTGTTCCCCTTTGCCTGCTGCCCTTTCCTCAGCAGAGTCCACCACAGCCGCTCTCAACACATGTGCAAGAGTCACACCCAGTCAAAGAAAGCGCAGGGTGAAGTATCTTACTCCACTTCCTGGACCAAGCTCCACATCCATGCATTTTACAACATGTTCATGTTTATGGTGGTTAGCTCTGGGAGAGGGGAGAGGGCTAATTTTTATTTTCTTATTTCCAATTTTCTGTACTTTTCAAAGTACTTTTCTGTACTTTTGCCTTCAGTGATGAGTGTGTTACCTTTGAAGTCTGACAGTTTCCTGAAGTTGCCTGTAGTACTGCTGGTTTCCAGTCCTAACTGAGAACAGCTCTCCAGGTCACTCACGCCCCTGCTCACCTCCCAGAGAAAGCAAACTACTTGTTCTCCTCGAAGTGCTGTATGTGCTCTTCTTTCTAAAACATTTCTATTACAAAAAAAAAAAAGTAACATTCTCTGGGACTGATTTCTTATTCAGATATTGGGCTTCTTCCCCAATTTTCTTTTATTAACTACTACTGAAGAAAGGAGAATTGTAATCATAAAGGGATAAAAGATTTAGTAAAGCCTCATAATTTAAACAATTTCTAAAATTCTTTCTCTCTTCCTAAACACATGCCCACTAGCCGCTGAAGCCCTCATGGGAATCTGGCATCAAGTGTATGGCCAGGAAACTGCACCCACAACACAGCTTGAGTGTAAAGCTAGTGTGGTTCATGAAGCTAGTGTTTCTGAGCCTCTCATACAGAAGTCTTTCATGTTCCCGAAAAAGAGCCCTAAGCAAAGTGTCTGTATGGTCATCTACTTCTGTAAAATTAAGCAAAAAATATTCTGATTGCAATAAATTAGGACAGCTGCTTCTTTCCACTGTGTGCAATTTTGCCTTGTCTCTCTCAGACCCTGTGTGCCAGGGAGATTGGCAGCATTTCTGGGATCTGGCTAAGGGATACCTAGGCAGGAGTCTATTTTTGTTCTCCACACACCTAAGTGATTACAGCCATCTGAGCCAGGTGAGGCTCCTTGGATAGAACCACAACACCGAGTGTCCCCAGGACTTTGTGCCACAGGTGCAGGTTCAGGGATCTGGAGGCAAAGCAAGAGGGTTGATAGCACCTGGCACAGGAAATGCCCAGGGAGTGGAAAAGAAGGTTGAAATGTAAGCAGCCAATCACTCATTTAGGAAATCTACCACTAGATATGTTAAACTGCAGTCAGAGAGGTCAGTTCTCCATAGTCAAATCAGAAATCCATGTCTGTCAGGAGAGAAAGTCATCATACTGCAGTACAATTAAAAATATGCCTCAGATGTATTTTCTTCCCTGAATAGAACTGTGCTCAATTTGGCAGCACATATAATAAAACTGGAATTGTTCAAAATGGAATTAATCAGAACTAGGGGAAGGGGACCATAAGATAGAGGGAAGAGGGAAGGAAGAGAGGGAAGTAGGAGTATAAAGAATTATGACATGTTACATACATGTACCAACTTCCCACAATGAATGTAATCATTACGTACTGCAAACACGAACAGGTTCTAATAATAAAACTTGAAAAAACAAAACTAAAAATGAAAAAATTGCTTTTCTAGGACACAAATCTGAGCAATACTAGAAATAGCAAGTATGTCTGTATATGAAATCTTATGTTATACACAACTTTGAGGAGGGGTACCAGGGGTTGAACTCAGAACTTTGAACTTTCTGGATAGGCACGGCACCATTGAGCTACATCTCCGGCCCATATATACATCTTAGTAAAAATTCAGCAACTATGATAGAGAAATCAATAAACTCTATTCTCTATCATATAAAAAGGTGATTAAAAATACACAACTAAGAAAAAAGTATTATAGAAGTATGTTACGTAATTAGAGAAGTATGTCAAGTAACTAGTAAATGTATTATTTTTCTCAATTTAGTTATATTTGCATTATTGGTCATTTTTTCACATCTGTACTTGAGTAAGGGGGGGCTACAGCCAAGCACACCCAGCTATGTATTCTTTTCCTTAAAGAGTCTCCATTCCCCCAAAACTGTACCGTATATGGTTTAGTCCCTATAATAAGGTACAATTAATGCACTCAAACATCTGAACATCTATTCTGAATTAAGGAAGTCTAAAACACTTAGGGACACAGGAGTTTATACAAGAGAAAATTCCTCCTGGCATGGTGGGCCAAACAAAGAGGACAATATGTTAAATAGTGTGGTCAGTTCCCTGGATGAAGTAAAATGAGGATGACAGAAAGGAACCTGGCAGGTGGAGGGGAAGAGAATGGCCTCACCAAAAAGACTGCAGTCAAGCCCTCTGAATGTCCTGGTACTTGTGACCACCACTACTAGGAGGCCCATGCCAAGCCTTTTGCTTACACTGTCTCAATTCCTGCTCACAACGCTTTGCGCAGTTGGCATCATGCCCACCCTACAGATTGGGAACTCAGGTCCAAAAAGGTTGGTGGTTATTCAGCTTGCAGGTGGCCTCAACCCCACCCTGATTCCATGGCATGCACAGGGCACACTGAGAGAGAAGTTAGCCCAGAAAATGAGATGACTTAAGAAGCAACTAATGCCATCTGCCCACTGAAGACACAGAAGAAAGGACCACTGCTAGCCTGTCTTGCAGCAGCCTCCCAAGCACAACAGTGGACCTGGGCCTGGGCCTCACAGGAGGCAGGAAACAAGAAGGACAAGGGGCACAGTACAGGAAAGGTTAAGTGTGGCAGGAAAGCTAAGTGTGGTCTCAAGATAGCTGAAGAGAGGCAGCCTGCAGCTAGGCTCTGAGGGACCCAGTAGGCTACTGGATAGAACCAAACCCACGGAGGTTTGCAACTGGGCTGTGACATGACCAAACATTCTGGGAAGCAATCAGGAAGACAGGCTGAGGAGCAAAGATAAAATGAAATAAGATGCACCACTGTATCCTACAGCACTATAGTATCTTTCTGCTTTTGAATTTATTTTATTTTTGTATTAGGGACTGAACCCAGGGCACTGCACTGAGCTACATTTCCAGCCTTTTTATTTTTTTTTAATCTTCGTTTTGAGACAGGGTCTCCCTAAGTCAGCTGGGTTTAAACTTGTGATCCTTCTGCCTCAGGCCCTCACACATGCCTGGCTGCTTCTGAATTTCAAAATGGCAATAAACTAACAGTAGTAGAAGCACCTGCATTACTATAACTTCCCTCTTGATCCTGTTCACATCCTCATGTATTTTTTACAATACCATAGTTGCACATCTTTTAGGTTAAGGCATATTTTAAAGCATATGGATCAAAATGGTTAAATTTTGATTGGAAGGAAGAACAGGAATGGGATAGCCACGATCCATGTATACCTTATGGACATAATAAGGTTTGCCATCACATTGTTTCCAAAAATGGAATTCCAAAATCAAAATCTTTATCACACACTGCTAGCTGCTCTCCAAAAACACCAAAGTTACCACCAACGTGAACACTCCCCCAGGAAACATCAGACATTTGACTTTATCGTACTAAGCTCCATGGGACCCTCAACTTTTCAACTTCCATTGCCAAGATAAAGCCAAACCCCAACACTGACAAATATACTACCGTAAAATGACTACATATCCCCATCTCAGAGAACAGGACCACAGTCACAACTTTACAGTGGGGTTCTGTCTCTATCTCTAACACTAAAGCTCACAGTAACTGAGTAAAAGGGGAAGCTGGCAAGCTAACAGGTAGGTGGGTGATGGAAAAACATAAAAGAACTGAAAGAGTAAGTAGCAATAAAAGAAACCTGTTACTGTCTGAATACAGATGATACGCTGATGTGACTGAAGCAGAAGTGTTTGCAAAGAAAGGAGGAAAATGAATTCCTTGGGGCTGGAGATTTCACCAGGATACATGGAATCATCTATACAATAATTTTGTTTTGGTAATGCAGCACTCATCTTTCCCACCAAGCATGACAGCTCTGCTTAATCAATGCCTCATTCACTTTCAATTGACTTTAAAAAAAATTTTTAAAGCCGTACAAAAGACTAAACCTATGGAGCACTGAGCTGCGTCCTTATCTGTTTTCATTTTTTTATTCTGAATTTTAAGAATCTGGCTAAATTCCCAGGCTGGTCACACACTTGCATTTTTCCTGTATCAGTCAACTGTTTTTGTAAACAGGGATGGGTTTTCAGAATCTGCTCAGATTACTTGGTCTACCTGACAATAGTCATTACCATTTATTAGGAACTGTTTACTGGGAATATTGTTAATACTCCCAAACCAGGGCTGAGGATCTAACTCAATGCCTCATACGGGCAAGGCAAGTGATCTAGCACTTAACTGCCTCAACAGCTTTTTAAAAATGATCCTTTGTTGGGCTGGGGATTTAGCTTAGTGGCACCGCGCCTTCCTCTCAAGTGCAAGGTCCTGAGCTCGATGCCCAGTACCAAAAAAAAAAAAAAAAAAAAAAAAAAAAAAAGTTTTCACAACAACCCTAAGAGGTAAGTACAATTTAAACCCATTTTGTAGATAAGGGATCAAAGGCAGGTATAAAACAATATAACTTAGCCAGACGTGGTGGCGCATGCCGGTAATCCCAACACTCGGGAGGCTGAGGCAGGAGGATCGGTGTGAATTCACGATCCTTCTGGTCTACACAGTGAGTTCCAGGTCAGTCTGAATTACATAGTGAGACCCTCTCTCAAAAAACAAAAAACAAACAAACAAAAACCATATATCAACTTCCTCCTTAGGAATTAGTTAAGTAGGAACAGGAAAGTCTACTAAGGACTGACAGCAGTTCTGCCAGCAAGAGCAGGAAGCCCGCAGTTCAGAAAAGTGCACCATCAGCACCTAGTTCATGAGCAGCCTCTGCGTAATAACCATGTGCACAAAGCAAGGACAGAGAAGCAGGGGTTGTGAATGGCTTTGCAAATACCCAAAGGTGTCACCCTAAACCGGCAAGTCAACTTCTATGAGCCGCCCTTTCCTGCAATTTAAAATGATCCGGGTAACCAGCGCATGTCCACTTTGAAGACTTTAGAACCAGCAGGCATGATGCAGCCCTCCACAAATGTCTTCCGCTGTCCGGGCACTCCCAAGAGTTATTTGGCTCACAGGTACAGTTTCGCCATGCCTTCCTACCTCAAATATACCCTCCTCCCATTTTTCAATAGCTGTCTACAACCTGGTTATCAAATATTTCCACAAGGAAAACCAAAATAAATTTAGAAAAATCTCCCTTTAAAGATTTGGGCCTGTGGATTTTAACTTTCTATTCTTTCTCAAAACTATGTATTGAGATTATGTCCTTCGATGATTTTTGCTGTTTTTCACAGCCATTACTGGACCTGAAAGATGTCGGTGGTTGCTGCCACCTGTGTAAATGGAAAAATACTCAGAATCCAGGTTGTGTAATGTACTGGGGTGCGGTCCAGGCCCCACTTTCAGCGGTTTTCCCTTAGTAGGCTTTCCACTGGCTTGGGATGATTTCTAGACCTTTGTCCAGTAAGAACATCAACAGCTAACTAGATTCCCACCTTGAAGATAAAACTTGAGACGCGCACACAAGGCGCGCCTCAGCATTTGCCTTTCTGGACTTCC